TTAAAATATCATGGCATTAGTAACTTATTATGATTTAGAGTTACATTAAATGAATGTGAATACAATTTTTATGAATGAGAGTTTATAAGAAAAAGTTCATATGGAACAACTTGAAGTCTTCACATTAGAGGGTAAAGAATTCATGGTCTGTAAACTTAAGATGCCAATATATGGATTTAAATAAGCTTTCTAATAATGGTATATTAAGTTTAATGATACCATTATTTCTTTTGGTTTTAAGGAAAATACTGTTAATCAGTGTATATACTAGAAGGTTAGTGGGAGTAAGTTTATATTTCTGATTCTATATATTGATGATATTTTATTTGCTAGTAGTGATCTTAGTTTATCATATGAAACTAAAAGTTATTTCTAAGAACTTTGAAATGAAAGATATGAATGAGGCATTATACGTGATAGTAATAGAAATATTTCATAATAGATTACGTGAATTTTTAGGATTATCTCAGAAAGCATATATTGAAAGAGTTCTAGAAAGATTTGGTATAGAACATTATTTAATCAGTATTGCTCCATACATAAAAGTGAATTAATTCAGCCAAATGCAATCCCAAAGAATGAGTTAGCTAGAAGGTAAATAAACGAAAAATATTCCTTATGCATATATTGTGGAGTTTGATGTATATACAAGTTGGTATGTGATAAAAGATTATATGCTCACACTTAGGAAGACATTTTTTAATTGGTTATTTGATTCTTTTGGCTGGAAGAACAATATTATGAAAAAGTATAATGTAATTTTTTATTACTTTGTCTATTATGAATTTTTAATTAGTAGCATACTTTGAGATTACAATTTATTATTGCTGAATTTATTTCAGGATTTGGAGTTATGGGTACCATTTTCAGATTGCTGAAAATTTATGCTGCAATTGTTGATCTTCTTGTATGAAAAATGATAGATATTCTAAAGTTGAAATACTTTATTATTAAAGAAGATATTTAGAAACAAAGAATGTTTATTGAATATATAAGCACACAACTTATGATTGCAATCCATTAACGAATGGATTATCATCCAAGACATTTATGAAACATATTAAAAGAATGGGTCTTGAATGTAGTCAATGATGATTATTTTTTAATTTTGGATTGCTTAACAGTGCTTATATATATTTGACATTTTGCGCTCATTAAATATGTTTATGATATTTTCTATTAATTAATGTACATGTACATATTGCTTTAATAAGTGGTAATAGGAATAGTCTTGGAAAAGACATTATTGTTAGATCATTATTGATACTTCTCATTTATAGATTATGTTGAATATGTTACTAGTGTTGTGGTACATGGAAGAGACTGTGTCATTTAGGGACATACAACCACCATGACTCATATTGGTAATTTGTTTACCATGGTATTTATGATGACCAACTTAATACTTTAATCTGATTTACGGTGCACACTAATAACTATTTTACTAACCACTACAGAAATTATCATATGTGCCAAGTGGGAGAATGTAAGATTATTTATTTAATTGTGACCCACATGATTTGGACACGTGACATATTATTTGGTGGCTAAGTAAATAGATATCAATTAATATTATTTATTTTTAGTCAACTTATAATTACATTTTTGGTAATTACTTATTGGAGAAGTATTTTCCTTTATTTGATGGATAGTAGAATTATGTTATTAAAAGGAAAACTGGTCATCTCTCTACCTTTATAAAATGCATATACTCCATCAATTATGTACGATTAATAATACAACACATAAAAGTTTTATATGTGCAAAAGGCCAAGAGAGAGAAATCAGTTTCCATGTTTTAACTATTGCAATTTAGCACGTTCTTCGTTCTGCAGAAAGGATCTCGACGTTAGACTTGATCTCTACGATATTTGCAATTACAGATCGAGGTATTTATATCTAACTATATTTATTTATATATTATAGGTATGTGAGAATAATAAAGTTTTAAGATTTGTGATTCATGTTTATTTGTGATTAATGATTTATACGAATAATTATAGTTTACATACTTGTCACGAGATGAATTGGCTTCAATGAGGCTTGGGATGTCCATGTCTATGCTATCCACTCCTTGGTAGCGATAATGCTCATGGTGGTAGCTACTTTTGGAAGGTCGCAGACATGGGAACACCAATGGGGGAGATTGGCAAAAATCCCAGGCAAGGTTGTCACTGAGCTCGATCATGGATGGCTAAGAAGAGGTTGTGGTTGATAAAAGAGCCAAAGAAGAAGGCCACTTCCAGTATCTTCAGCCACCCTGCATTGTTGAGGAAAGCAGCGGTCCATAGCTGAAGTAAAACAACCACCCTGATCAGCAACACCAAATTTTTTAGGATGTTAGTATAAATCCCCCCCCCCCCAAAATAGAAAGAGAAAATGGGCAAGTATGATAGATATTTGGTAATTATTCTATTATACTCTAAATTCTTTCAAAACAACTCAAACAAGTTACCAATCAAAAAGTTTAGGATAAAATAATTATCCATTTTATTTTAATTAACAATTTGTTTTAGTTATTTTAGTTATGAAGAATTTTGACTCTAATAAAATTTATTTTAATTAATAATATATTTTAGGGATAATTTCACTGACACTCCCACTAGTTTGGCCAAATATCAGTCTAAAATATCTTTCGAAAATAACTATCACTCACATTACAAACATTTGCTCCGTTTTTCACTCACACCCCAAAAGTTAGTTTACAGGTGTGTCAGATCACTTTTACATGTAAAAATACATTTTTACCCTTTGACTTTGGTTTGACCCTTGACTTTGGTCTACCATCATTTTTTTAATTTATTTTTTTACAAAATATCAGTATTAAAAGACAATATGGCCCCTTAAAAATTTGTAAATTTACAAATTATGTTATATACGCCGTTATCGGAATATGACATTGTCCGGCTTTGCCCGATCTCAATTCCCTCGTCGAGCAATTCTCCACTGCGTGTATAGGTTACGCTTCCTCTCTTGTTCAGCGTTGCTTCGCGTTTTCTCCTGGTGATTTTCAAGTTCGATTCATTGGAAAGATGATCACTTAGTTGAATGAATACACTGACTCCCCAATTTGGGTATATCTTAATTTATTGTTTTGTGTCATGCAGTTAGAGGATGGTAACAAGAAGGCAGAAAACTTAATTTTGTTTCCTCCTGCTGATCGGTACATACAGAGACATATATATATATATATATATATATACACTCCTATATACACACACAGACACACGCACACACACATATATATATATACTCCTATACACACACACACACACACATATATATACTCCTATATATACACACAGAGACACATACACACACACACACACACACACACACACACATAAGCACAACACCACCACCAATCACCGTCGATCGCAGTAAAGAGGACCTCCAACACGCCTCGACTGCTCTCCTCAAGAAGATGTCAATCGGCGCGTGTGGCGCAATTCCAGTGACGGGGTGCTGAGCTTGTATTTGCCATGGTTTGATGGTGTCAGCTGTGAAGAAGGTGGCGGTGAGCTTGCGGCGGTGCTCGGAACATTGACAGCAATGTGCTCGGCCGGTGGAGATGGCTGGATCGGGACGGCATTGAATCAACGACTAAAGAAGTCGCAATTCCGGTGATGGGCCGTGATTGGGTTTGATGGCGACCGGCGGGATTTAACGGCTGCGAGCTTAGCTTTAGATGATGGTGGCCGGTGGTGGAGAGGATGGCTGTGGATCGGCTGGTCCTCACCGAATAGTTTACTCATCGTCGCCGTTGTCCGGTTCGCTTCTCTTCGCCGTCGCTGGAATTGGAAGTGGAAGGTCACAGATCGCCGCCGTGGTTTTGTGTGGCTTGGTTGATTTGTGATCAATTTTGTGGTTTTATTAGTGGATCTGCGTGTTTGGTGCAAAACCACTAATTCATCTTCATCTCTTTCTCTCTCTATCACACACACCACTATGAAAATAGAATAATCAATTACAGTGTTTGGGGACTGGATTGGAGGCACTTCTAATCAAAATTTTGTTTTGGTTATTCCAAATTTGGAAAATATATCATTTTCTCTAACACAACAAAAATGGGTTTGGGTTATGCAACCACAGTCGCCGGCGGCACCACCACGACCACCCCCCATCATCGCCGACCACCAACCACCAACCACCAATCTTTCTTTACACTTTCTCTTGCTCTTCTGCAACACTCAACTTTTGGAACCACCACCCACCACCACCACGACGGCCAACAGCACCATCTACCCAATGCTTATTCATTGTCAGGGGTATAATTGTCTTTTAACTAATCGGATATTTTGAAATATATGTTATTAAAAAAATAGGGGCAAAGTTGTCTATTCACATGTTTTTAACGGAGACTGTGATGGAAAAGCGAAAATGGACCTAAGTGATAGTTATTTTCGAAAAATATTTTAGACTAATATTTGTCCAAACCTCAGGGGGTGTCAGTGAAATTATCTCTATATTTTATTTTTTATTTATTTTTAATAATAATTTGAAATTATTTTAGTTGTTGCAGTTGTTTTAGTCCTGAAAAATTTTGAATATAAAATGATTTATTTTAATCAGTAACTTTTAAGAATATAATAGTACGATTGATTTTAATTAATAATATATTTTATTATTTATTTATTTTTAATAATGATTTAAAATTCTTGACACTCTCTTATACTTTTAATAATAGTACATAAATAAATATCAAATTTTAATTTAATAATAAATTTTAAGATTAAATTTAATATGTCACAACCTATTTAATGAGATTTAATCAGTTTTTTTTACAGTGTATAGATTTTTTTCTTAGATATATTGAGAGTTTATGATTAAAGATTGAAAGTAGCGGTTTTTTTTTTTTTTTTTAATTAGCCCAAATGAAAAACCAAATGCACATAAAATGTGAAAACATGTTTTACCGAGAAAAGAAAAGAAAAGAAATGAGAAAAGACATATACAAAATACTGCAGTATAATATAAATATATAACACATACACCGTAATATTCGGTGTAATTAGAAAACACAAATCCTCCAATAAATGCGCTGCTCTTCTGATGATCAATTAGAGAGGCTCTAATTGCATCACTCATTTCCATTCTCTCACTCTCTTCTCTGTATAGATCTTCTTTCTTTTTGATTCGTTTTAATGAAACCCATTACACAATTTGTTTCATTTCTCAATTTTTAATATATATGTACATATATATATGTATATATATGTTTTTTCTTCTTCTTTTTTTCTCCCGATTCGGAGTGTGTGATTTTTGAGAGGAGACAATTGAGTTCTGGTTTGATTTGTGAAGAAATAGATAGCTTTAAATTGATTTGATTGCAATTTGTGTTTAATTTAGAGAGAGAAAGAGAGAGGTGATAGAAGGTTTTCGTTTCGTGATCAGTTAGAAATTGAATTGAGAGAATTTTTATTGATTGTTTAGATTGTATAGATTTTGATTTGGGTTATATATATACGTATATATATAGTTATATACATATCAGAAAATGGGGGTGGATTATTACAATATATTGAAGGTGAACAGGAATGCGACGGATGATGATCTGAAGAAGTCTTACAGGAGATTGGCCATGAAATGGCATCCCGATAAAAACCCAAACAACAAAAAGGAAGCTGAAGCCAAATTCAAACAAATCTCTGAAGCTTATGATGTATGCATCTCTCTCTCTATATGTATGTATTGTGCCCAAATTATTCTTTTTTCTTTCAGATGTTTGGTAGAAGTCTTTTTCTGTACAGTTTTACTATATTTATTAATTATATAATTGTTAATTTAAAACTTCATGTATAGCCCTTGTTATTCTGATGAGAAACTAGAGCATAAAGGAAAATTTTATATTTTGAGCAAATTTAGCCTTTAATTGAAAATTTCATGTATAGCACTTGTTATGCTGATGGGAAAATGGAGTTAAAAGAGATATATATATATATATATATATATATATATATATATATATATATGACCAAATTTAGCTTTTAATTGTTTGCTAGTTGTTTTCATTCCCAAAATTATTGTGCTTATTATGAGCTCTCCCTTCAATGAATACAGTAGAGTGAATACAAAAAATGAATACAGTAGAGTGACCCAAATTCTCAATGTTTGCACAGAATTTTAATTTCTTCAACGTACATCAATATATGATCTCATGGTTGCAATTTAGATAATAAATAATTTAAAAGAGGGTTAATAGGGAAATCCGAGCTACAATTGTTCAATCCTTAGTGCGTGTTTGGGTTGCTGTTAAGACCAAAGGTGCTTTTAATTTGAAAATTCTCTTTTAAATGTGGTTTGTTTAAAAAAAAAAAAATTTACTTTTTAGTTGTAGAGATTTTAGGTTAGCTTTTAGCCAGCTAAAATTGGAGCTTTTTGCAAGTAGAGGGAAAAATTATGTAAAAAGATTCTATTTATGAAAAATCGCTTTACATATCCAAAGATGGCACTTTTTTTACTACATAAATATATAAAATATGTTTGTTATAAGTTTTGTGATTTTGATGATTTTGATAATGCCAAACGGCGTGATTTTGATGATTTTGATAATGGGGAACAAAATGTTGTCCAACAGCTATAGAGTCTTGTTTAGGCATAGTTTTTCCCTTTTGTTTTAATTTTTTTTAATTCACAGTATTAGGCTGGGTTCAGTGCTGCCTTTTGGTTTATTGAATCCGACAATACTTTCAAACTTATACTAAAGAGATTTTAATTTTCTTTGCCCTATATTCTTTTAAAAATCATTTGCAGAGTCAAAAACATTTATCAACATGTGAGCAAGAGCTCAAGGTTTTTTACAGTTTTATTTATTATGAGGCAACAGGAGAAAAGGATAGGGATTGGATTTCTTTAGCAGGGGTAGGGAATTAGAGGGTTGTAAGGTACCAGTTTCTTCGTCTTGCTCTATGCAAACTTCATGTGTGTAAGAATTGAATTCTTTTTAGCACTTTTAGTAGGTCATATTTAAATTATTAAAGAAAAAAAAAATACTACACCTTACAATGAAGGGAAATGAAATTATTTGGAACTAAATTGCTTCGATCTTAAGGAGTTGAGTTTGTGTTGTGAAGTGGTGCGATGAACGTGTGTTTTCAGGTCTTGAGCGATCCACAAAAGAGGTCAATTTATGATCAGTATGGGGAAGAAGGTTTGAAAGACATGCCACCACCTGGTTCTAGTGGCAGTGGTGGATTTCCAAATGGGTTCAATCCTCGAGATGCAGAGGACATCTTTGCAGAATTCTTTGGCAGTAGTCCTTTTGGATTTGGGTCAGCAGGAGCTGCAAAGTCCTCGAGGTTTCAGTCAGATGGAGGTGGGACATTTGGGGGATTCGGTGGGAGTGAGAACATGTTTCGATCATATAGCGATGGAAGTGGAGCAAGCATGCCAAAGAAGCCGCCACCAGTGGAGAGCAAATTGCCTTGCAGCCTTGAGGAACTTTACAATGGATCAACAAGAAAAATGAAGATATCTAGAACAGTGGCTGATGCCAACGGGTAAGTATATTCTCATGCATCTGTGTTTATTTCCTTTATTCTCAGCATAGTTGCTGTCCGAAATTGATGTGGCAACAAATGTTACAATCTATCTGGTCAAGTACATCATAATTATATTGCTTAGATATATTTGATCGAATTATTACGTAATTGATCTTAACTTGTCCAGGTGCTGCTTTAAGTCCTGGATTAACATGCTTTTTGACCATCCTTTACTCTGTCACTACATCAAGTCTTACTGTTTCTGTAGTTACCTGCATTAATTATCTTCTTTTATATGCATTGTTATTTATTCTCGAGTGTTTGTTTCTTTGGGGGTTAAGATGCTTCAGAAACGTTTTCTTTTAGAATTCATCCTTTAATCAATTTCAACCATTTCCAATTATAATGTTCTTTATTCCTACCGTTAGTTTTTGTCAAAGTCCTCATCATTACATGATGTCACAGTAAGGAAATTGTGTCATTTTACTTGTTTTACAATAGAACAAATGCTCAATGGAATCGTTTTCCTTTACGTGCATAAAATTAAAACAAGGCCAGGCTTCAGGATATTCTGAGGGAGATTTGGTTTTGTACTAATTGTATATTCTTTGTTGATATTTCTTACCTTTTCATGACAATAATGTCATCCTCTTTCTGAAGTTATTTATGTATTTCAACAATAAACTTCAGCTTTTAAATCAACCAGCTTTTTACATTTTTTTTTCCTTCTAACCAAAAATTAAAGAAGTGAACTTATAAAGGAATTCATGGTTGTATAATCTTTATGGGTGGCATGTTGATTGTGCGATCAACATAATAAAGTGGTCTTGGCTTCTTGGCTATGTTACATGAAACTCCAGTATCCCCTTCTCTGGTGTTATTTTGTTTTCATTCTTGTAAACTGTTCTCCTGACCTACGTCACAGTACTTTGAGTTTGTGTGTCCAGTGTGAATATGTGTCTTAAGTTTTGGATTTATCAAATCCTCAAATCCAGAACACGGTTCATATTCTTTAATATTATTTTATGTTCTAGTGTTGTTAATTAGCATTAGCATACTAACATAGAGGTAGGCACTTCAGTCATTTGGAGTAATTATGTAAAAAACAGTAATAAGAGAATTATGTGTAAAATTTGATAGACATGTCAGACAGAATATTCTAATGCCCATGCATACTCCATTGTTGAGTGTCCGACTCTAGTGCTTCACTCGTTAGACCATGTAATATAGGTTCTGGCACTTGAACATCCAAAGTTTGTGTGGAAAATTCAGTTCTATAAATAAGGAAATCGCGTGTTTATAGCTGTAATTAGCTAAGGAAACCGTGTGTGTATAGCTGTAATTAGCTAGGAGATCTTGTAATATTTTAGTCATTGTAATCCCTGATTTTAGGAAATTAGTATCTCTAGGATTTGACGACCCTGATTCTAGGGAATTAGTATCTCTACGATTAGACAGTTTCCTAGTTTTAGAGTTTCCTAATTTAGATCCTCTGAAGTGTGTATAACAGTGTAATTTCATTGTGATTTCAATACAATTAAATTTCAGCCCAATTTGTGTCACGGTATTAGAGCAGTAGGCTCAATTCTGGGAATTGTATTTCTGGTCTTGCGAACTCTCATATCGCTAGACTAATTATTATCAATCTCCAACCCCACACTATCACCCCTCAAGACCGTAACCCTTTAACCAAAAGACCATGTCAGCCGACAATAGCAACACCACGATTACCTCGGAGGTTCCTTTGACTGAAGGCAGCAACTCGATTCCAACAGGGGAATTATAGAACATCCACGCAGCGTACAGGTTGAACGGGAAGAACTATCTAAAGTGGTCTCAACTGGTTCGCACGTTCTTGAAGGGAAGAGGCAAACTGAGTCACTTACTCGGTACAAAGGGGATCCCAAATTTGATGCTTGGGATGAACAAGACTCTATGGTGATGTCTTGGTAATGGAACTCTATGTTGCCAGAAATCAGTGATACATGTATGTTTCTTAACACAGCCAAAGAAATATGGGAGGCCGTGAAGTAGACTTACTCTAAAGTCCGGGATGCTGCACAAATCTATGAAATCAAGACCAAGATTTCATCCACCAAGCAAGGAAGTCGATCAATCACAGAATACTCCAATCTGTTGCAGAGCTTATGGCAAGAGATGGATCATTACCAGTGCATTCAAATGAAATGCAGTGAGGATGCAACCTCCTTAAGAGGTTTGTCGAAAAAGACCGAATATATGATTTTCTTGCAGGACTGAACATTGAATTTGATACAGTAAGAGTCCAAATACTCGGAAAGGAAGATCTGCCATCACTTAATGAAACAATTGCAATTGTTCGAGCTGAGGCAGGAAGAAGAGGAGTTATGATTGAGAATAACCCAGTGGACAGTTCAGCCTTGGTTACAAAAGCTGCAAATGTGAGGAACTTTGGCCGGGAGCAGCCATCTAATGAAGGCAACAAGTGGGCAGATTTTACAAGGCCAGTCAATAAAGATTCTCTATGGTGCACATATTGCAAAAAGTCCCGCCATACTAAGGACAAATGCTGGAAACTCTACGGCAAATTAGAGACAGCAAATAAAATTGGACGGCAAAAGGTGGACAGCCAAAGGGAGAGGGGCAGGTGTATATGGCAAATATAAAACAGGCTGGAGAAGGTAAATCTCAAGAATCATTTATTGAGTTCGATAGAGAGAAAATTGAGAAATTGAAGAATCTGCTGGGATCTTTGGAGAAACCATATACAACAGGTACTTGCACTTTGGCGTTCTCAGGTATATCTTCCTCTGCTCATGCTTTTAAAGTCTCGGATATATCCACCACAAAATCTTGGGTCATTGACTCAAGAGCTACAGATCACATGACCTACTCGTCACAAAAATTTATCTCATATACACCTTGTCCTAGCAATAGGAAGATAACAATAGCCGATGGTTCTATGACAACAGTGGCTAGTCAGGGAGATGTTTTTATAAGCAAAACCCACACACTTCGAAATGTTCTCCATGTACCAAAATTATTTACCAACCTTTTGTCAATCCACAAGCTCACTAAAGATTCTAATTGTAGTGTGGTGTTTTATCCCTCTCGTTGTGTATTTCAGGAACAGGGAACGAAGAGGATGATTGGACATGCTAGAGAAAGGGATGGTCTCTACCATCTTGAAGAACCCAGTGGTCAAGTTAGTGTTGCGAATTCCTCACTATTATCATTTCTTTTAGAGTCTTTTAAATCCAATAAAGACAAGATTTGGCTTCAACACCTCCGTATTGGTCACCCGTCATTTAGAGTCCTTAAAATTATGTTTCCTTTATTGTTCAAAGGATTAGATGTTGAAAATTTTCACTGTGATGTCTGTGAACTTGCAAAGCACAAACGTGCTTCTTTTCCAATAAGCGATAAAAGAACATCTGTTGCATTTACTCTTATTCATAGTGACATTTGGGGACCGTCCACTGTTTCTAACATTTCTGGGGCTCGGTGGTTCGTTTCTTTCATTGATGATTGCACTCGTGTGTCTTGGATCTTTCTTATGAAAAAATTCTTGTTTTTTACAACATGGTCAGAACACAATTTGGTACTGAAATAAAAAGATTTTGTCCTGACAATGCTAAAGACTATTTTAATCAGTTTCTCTCACCATATTTCCGAGAAAAGGGCATAATACATGAATCTTCTTGTGTTAACACACCCCAAGAAAATGGTGTGGCTGAACAAAAGAATGGTCACATTTTAGCTATTACAAGAGCATTCTTGTTTCAAAAAAATGTTCCTAAGCAATATTGGGGGGAAACGGTTTTAACTGCTACTCATATGATAAACAGATTGCCTACAAAGGTTCATGATTTTAAAAGTCCTATGCAAATTTTAACGAAATTCTTTCCTAATTTTAATGCTTCAAGTAGTCTTGTTCCCAAAATATTCGGTTGTGTTGCTTTTGTCCATGTGCATTCTCAAAACAGTGGAAAACTTGATCCACGAGCTGTCAAATGCGTCTTTATTGGCTATTCTTCCACTCAAAAGGGTTACAAATGCTATCATCCTCCCACAAGAAAATTCTATGTGTCAGCTGATGTCACTTTTGTCGAAGAAGATCGTTACTTTACTCGTCCTTATCTTCAGGGGGAGATCTCATTCACAGAAGATAAGGACAAGAATCTTTTTCTTCTTGATTTTCCATTGTCCTCCTCCTCCTCGGTTCCTGTCTTTGTTGTCCAGCCAAACCCTTAGTCCGTTCCTGTTGATCAACCTGAGCTAGTCCAGCCTGAGCCAAACATTCAGTCCGAATCCATACAACCTGAAGTCGAGCCTCATACACCCAAGTCACAAGAGATGATAAAGGGAAAGCAAATTCAAGACTCTACTCGTCCATTGCTGGTTTTTTCAAGAAGAAGGGCACCAATCACTCAATCTGTGTAGGTTCAATCACCCAAATCAACCCTTGCTCTTGGGCTTAGCGAGGTAATTATTGAACCTATTTCTAATGAATATGGTGTCACTGAAGCTCTTGATCAAAGTGATTATGATATTCCCATTGCTTTTAGAAAGAAAACTAAGCATGCACCAAACACCCTCTGTGCTTATTCATGTCATACAAGAATCTGTCCCATAACCACAAAGCCTTTCTCACAAGCCTAAACACAATCTCCATTCCCAAAACCATATCCGAGGCATTAGGTAAAGAGAATTGGAAGAATGCCATGAAGGTCGAAATGGAAGCACTTGAGAAGAACAAGACATGGGACTTGGTGAAATTGTCGAGAGGGAAGAAATTGGTGGGATGTGGATGGGTATTCACGGTGAAATACAAGTCAGATGGTTCATTGGAGAGGTACAAAGCAAGGTTAGTTGCTAAAGGCTATACCCAAACATATGGAATAGATTATCTTGAGACATTTGCTCTTGTTGCGAAGATGAACACCGTTAGAGTGTTGTTGTCATTGGCTGCTAATCTGGGCTGGAAATTACAGCAATTCAATGTCAAAAATGCCTTTTTACATGGTGATCTCAAGGAGGAGGTTTATATGGAAGTTCCACTGGGGTTTGGTTCGAATACAGGACAGGTGGTATGCAGGTTAAGAAAGGCGTTGTACAGATTAAAACAGTCTCCAAGAGCTTGGTTTGGAAGGTTTGCCAAGGTAATGCTCGATATGGGATACAAATAGAGCCAAGGCGATCACACCTTGTTTGTAAAGAACTCGGCTTCAGGGGGAGTGACTACATTGTTAGTCTATGTAGACGACATTATAGTGACAGGTGACAATTTGGAAGGAATGGAGAATTTAAAGAAGTGTTTAGTGAAAGAATTCGAAATCAAAGAGCTTAGCAAACTAAAGTATTTTCTCAGCATTGAGGTAGCAGATTCTCGAGAAGGAATTTTCATATCTTAGCAAAAATATGTAACAGATTTGCTGATGGAAACAGGCAAGTTAGGTTGCAGACCAGCAAAGACGCCTATAGAGTTCAACCATAGGCTTGGAGATGCTCTTGAAGACACGGCAATAGATAAAGGCTCCTATCAGAGACTTGTGGGAAGGCTTATCTACTTGTCACACACTAGACCAGACATAGCCTATGCAGTTAATGTTGTAAGTCAATTCATGCACAATCCCAAATAGTCACATCTTAGGGTTGTGTGTCGAATCCTACAGTACTTGAAAGGCACACTGGGCAAAGGAATTCTATTTAAGAAGGGGGAGGAGCTAACTCTTGAAGCCTACATTGATGCAGATTATGCAGGGTCTGTAATTGACAGGAGATCTACCTCGGGTTATTGCACTTTTCTAGGAGGCAACCTTGTGGCTTGGAGGAGTAAAAAACAGAATGTTGTGGCAAGATCCTGTGCAAAAGCTGAGTTTAGAGGAATGGCATTTGGGATTTGCGAATTATTACGGCTGAAAATTGTCTTAGAAGATCTAAGAGTCAAGTGGGAAGGTCCAATGAAGCTTTATTGTGACAATAAGTCAGCCATTAATATTGCACATAATCCAGTGCAACATGACCGTACAATGCAGATTGAAGTTGACAGGCACTTTATAAAGGAGAAGCTTGACCGTGGCCTAATTTGCACGCCATTCGTTTCCACTAGCAATCAACTTGCAGACATACTCACCAAAGGATTGTCTGGGACGTTTTTTCAGAGACTGGCAAGCAAGCTTGGAATTGATGATATCCATTCACCAGCTTGAGGGGGAGTGGAAAATTCAGTTCTATAAATAAGGAAACCGCGTGTGTATAGCTGTAATTAGCTAAGGAAACTGTGTGTGTATAGCTGTAATTAGCTAGGAGATCTTGTAATAATTAGCTAGGAGATCTTGTAATATTTTAGTCATTGTAATCCCTGATTTTAGGGAATTAGTATCTCTAGGATTTGACAGCCCTGATTCTAGGGAATTAGTATCTCTAGGATTAGACAGTTTCCTAGTTTTAGAGTTTCCTAATTTAGATCCTCTGAAGTGTATATAACAGTGTAATTTCATTATGATTTCAATATAATTAAATTTCAGCCCAATTTGTGTCAGTTTGTACATAATCTAATAACTATATCAGGTGAAAATGAGAAGGGTAGTTAAAGAACCACCTTTGCCTTCTTCTGATACAGACACCTCTACTGTGGAGAAATTTTTGCATGGTTCGGGACTACATGATTCCTGCCAATCACAACTCGACACTCAAGCAAAAGCTGACACATTTGCTCGCGTGTTGAGTTGTGATTGGTCGCGAGACCATGTAAAAATTTCTCCTGCCTGTGACACTATTGTCAGAAAATTTCAGAAATTACCTCATTTTCTGTTTGTTCCTGTTTCCCCCTTTTGTGTGTGTGTGTGTGTGTGAAAATTTATTGTGCAGTTTGTCTGGGCTAATATGAACGTTGTGCTGTTGCATAGTCTTCCACTAGCGATTAGACATCCAATCATTTATCAGTGTCTCCTTCTCTACCCCCACTCCTCCTCTTTTGATTCCTTCTGTCAAGAGATAAGCTGCCTTATACATTGTGATTGTGTACAATCTTCCTGTGATTATTTTATTTAATGTGTTTGTCTTAAGTATGGCTCTTTCACAACCTTTATGCATACACTAGCAACTTTGATGTATTCCAAGTCTCGCCATTATAAGATCATAAAATTTCCTGCATTGCATTCACGCAACTAGTGAAACTTTGAATCACTGATCTCATCATGTTTGTTTCTTAAATGTAAAACATTACAGACGGTTAGTACCAGAAACGGAGATATTAACCATTGATGTGAAACCTGGATGGAAGAAGGGAACAAAGATCACTTTTCCAGATAAAGGGAATGAGCAAGTGAACCAGCTTCCTGCAGACCTTGTATTTGTGATTGATGAGAAGCCCCACAATTTGTACAAGAGGGACAGCAACGACCTCATCATTACCCATAGGGTGACATTGGCGGAGGCTCTGGCAGGGACCACGGTAAATCTTACTACACTTGATGGACGTAATTTGTCGATCCCAGTAAATGACATTGTGAGTCCCGGTTATGAGCTCGTGATTGCCAGGGAAGGCATGCCAATCGCGAAGGAGCCTGGTAATAGAGGTGATTTGAGGATCGAGTTTGAAGTTAAGTTCCCAACTAGATTGACACAGGAGCAACGAGCAGCGCTCAGGCGTGCCTTAGGAGGGTAGTAGCTCAGCTTTTGCCATCCATACTGCTGAAAGAAGGAACATCTTTTCAATGCCATGGGGAGCACCCATTAGAAGAAGAGTTTGGCTTATCAAAAGATGAGGTGCCCAAGTCGTGGTTTGTTTTATGTTTTACTTTCTGCTATTACCAACAAAATGTCTAGCAATCCATATATATATATATATATATATATATATATTTTGCCAATCCTTCTGTTTTTTTTTTTTTTTTAGGGGTGGTGAGAATTTTCATTGTTTTATGTAATTTATTTACTTTTTGGTATAGATTCATTCAGTTATACTGTAAGCCTCTTTGATTCCATTTGTCTTCTCCTTCTTCTTTTTTTTTTTGGATGCTGCATTCATTTTCTACATTTTATTGTTTGTTTTAATTGTAATTCCATAAGAAAGTCGACAGGGTTTCCAACTGGTACTCATGCCTTTACCTTACTATATGTTTAATGATTAAATTTGGATACGATTAATTGTTAGAAAGAAAATGGTATAATGCTTTAAGTCACGTAATTCTTCTAAATGGATCTTGCTCTCACACTCTACGTGCTTCAACTTTCACAAACACAACACGTGCTCACGCTTTCATTCTCACTTTCCCACGCCTGCTTCTGCTCCCGAACTTGTGGTCTCGCTTTCGCTCCCACTCGGTATAACTTAGATGATGCCTGGTTCAAACAATTAACTGTTGGTTGCAGTTGTGCACAGTAGCTTTGTTCAACAAGAACGGACCTTCTCAATAGACTTGTATACCTTTCTGCTGTGGGAAACCCAAAACTATGGGTTCGGTGCTGACCAAATATTGTCCAACTGGTCTTACAAATATAATGGGCTAGTTTTAATGGGTCATGATTTATGGCCTATCGTTGTACATTTACTCACATCTATGGGGAAAAAAATTAAGACAAATTGTCTCTTTCACTATATATTTTTTTTATTAGGTAATTTCTCAGACAAATTTCATTTTAAAAAATAATATTACTTTTGGGAGAGCCTACAGAATGGTTCAAACATTGTTTCTTTTATGAGATTATCATGTAAATTTAACAATCATGTACGTAATTAAATAGCTTAGATAGTACCAAGTTAAAAGGAAAAAATGATTTCTATTAAAATACAGGTACGAGTATGTTAATTAATCTAAGTTTTATTTTTCTAATCATCTACAAAAGTTTCAAACTGTCCTTCAATAGTCGTTCCAATTGAATGGATAAAAGTAATTAAATGAAATTAAATTTGATGCTTTAGTCATTAAATATAATAGTAATTGTTGACCTTGAATCCAAGACTTTTGATGATCATAATTCATTAATGATGTTCTATGCGTACTAATGTCTACCTTGAGCAAAATTACAGATCTACGTTTTCATCAAGTCCAAGACATTACATATAAAAGCACAAATGAAGAAGCATCATGAAGATATGTGAAAAAGACAAAAGTCATCAAGATTCAAAGAGAAGTCATCAAGATCTCATCAAAAGAAGTTAGCTAGGATGGTGAGCTTTTTAGGAAACCTTGTTAAAACATGTATGAACATCTTGAAGCTCTTACTCTCAAAATCATGCATAAAAACTCATTCATTAAGTTTAAGGAACATTGGACCAAGTTTGAACAGAGAGTTTTGGAACTAAGTATCAAGCTATTTCGGCTTACCGAAATACAACTCCAATTCATTTCGGTCTACCGAAATGAAAACATAAATTCCAAGTCTCTACTTATTTCAGAAGACCGAAATAGAAGGGCCAAATGAAACGGACGACCGATTTAAATAGAGACTTTTACATTCAAGGCTCAAGCTATTTCAGTCGACCGAATCAAAAGGCTGAATCATTTCGGCCTACCAAAATAGGAAGTACAAGACAACCATTGAGTTATTTCGGTCTACCGAAACACAAGGATGGTTTATTTCGGTCGACCGAATCTGTGCAGATTCAAATTTTAAACGGCTATTTTGCCTCAAAGTGTGTGTCCAACAGTTAGAATACATATCAGATAGATCTGAAAGACTATATAATGACTTATAAACTTCATAAAAAGGCATTGCATTCATTGAGAAACATATTCTTGCAATCTTAGAACCCTTTTTATCATCATACACATACTTCATATCCTAAAAGAGTATTGAGCTTTAAGTTATTCATATGTACTCTAGAGTGAGCTGCATCTTGTACTTTAGATCTAAGAGAGATCATCTTGTACTTCATCAATCTTTTCCAAATCTTGTAAGGGCTGGTGTGGCCCAAGGAAGACTAAGAGAATGTGTTTCTCTTTACACTTAGAAGCAAGGAAAAGCTTCTTGTAAAAGGTTTGCTCTCCACCCGCAAGGAGAAGCCATAGTGAATTGAGAAGTCTCAAGAGGGGTCTTGAGCCGAGGAGTAGGAGTTTCCGAACCTCACTAAAAATCGTTGAGTAGTTTGCAATTTCTATCTCTATCTCTTACATTTATTGCTTCATATTTTGTTTGATAAATATTGTCCATTGAAGTTTAAAATCTGATAGATTTATTCAACAATTGTCAAGGAAGTTAAACTCAATTCTTATTAGTTAATTAAAACGAAAAATTGACCTTAGTTTGCTTAGACTCTATTCACCCTCCTTCTAGAGTCCATATTTGGGCAACAGTAATTATATTTTAGATTTTTATTAAGTTAGTTATTGACCTGTGAATTCTCATCTTTTATTTTTTTTTTCTTATATCTATATGAGTTAATGCAACATGGTCTTTGTGGAGTAAAAAACTCTCTACGGTTTTTGTGGAGTAAAAAACTCTCTTACACTATCGATATGATACAAATAAATTCTTGTCTCATATAAAATGACGATAATACCCTCGCTTCAATTAAATAAATTAATAATTATAAATAGAAGCAATGTAAAATGACCATTTTATTCGCTTATAAAATTATCGTAATTTTCTAAAAAAACGAAATCCCTTCTATATGAGTTTTCCCTACTTTGTTTAGTTCGGACCACAACCCTGATGGAACGGAATGAGTAGTACCCTTGATTAGCGAGAACAAATCTGAGGCGGTGGATTAAAGGGAGGAGACACGGGAGAGATGGGCTCTATGGCCATGGTCAATCAGTAACCCCTCCTATAAATATCCACGAATTCCTCGCCACCAAAACCAAGATCTACCTCATCATGGAGCTCGCACAGGGTGGCGACCACTTCGTCCAACTCGCCAGCGAGCAAGGAAGGGACGGCCAGCGAAAGCTCCGGCCAAACCATCAAACACACTGAAGCCTCATATATAACTCTCCTCTCATCTTAATCTCTTTCAATTTTTGTCTCATCTCATCTCTCCATGTTATATTTCGTTCACCCAACCCTTTTTTCATAATCTGTTATTTTCTTGCCCTTAATCATCTATAATCGCAATCTATCATCTAATATGCACAGATAGAGGACAATTTGACCTAGGGTTTGAAAAGCATAAAATTGGGGGGTTTTGATTTGAAGTAAGAATTGCAGAAATTGCTGGGTCGCATTTGCAATTGGGGTGTTTGGATGGGTGTTGAGGCTTGGTGAGCAGTTTGGCGATGTAGGGTACTGCGTTGCATATTGGAGGAGGAGGAGGAAGAAGGCGCATATTAGAAGAGAGAAGGAAAAGAAAAGAAAAGAAAAAAAAAAAAAAAAACAAAGAAAAAGAAAAAAAAACATGGGTTATACCCAGAATACATGGGCAATGCCCAATTTAATGCATATAGGAGAGGGGCAAAATGGGAATCAAAAGGGTAAAATAGGATTTTCATTTTTAGTTTTTGTAAAAAAAAAAAGTGGTGAATGAGACTTATTTGCACATTTTTTGAATTTTAGGGACTAATATGCACATTTTTAAAAAGTATGAACTAGTTCTGCACAAACCTTATATGTCAGGGAGTTTTTTGGCACTTAACCCTATCTATATCTATATATATACCCTATAAAAGTGTATTCAATTTTGATTTTTTATATATATTTAAAAATAATTTTTTTAATTTACAAAAATATTATAGGTGAAGTTTCCTTTTTACACACTGTTTGTTTTGTTTTGTTTTTTTTTTTCTTTCTTTCTTTCTTCTTTTTTTTTTTTTCTCAAAGAGTTCTTATTTTAAACAATTTTAAAATTTTAATTTAGGATTTCATTATTAAAAAACCAACTTTGATTATATACCATACCTTGAAAAAAATGATAACTTCCTGTAACGTAATTTTTAAAAGGCAACAATAGTTAAGATGTGTTTCTACTCTTATACCACATTATTATTGAATTATTTTAGAATTCTTTTTACATATAACTTTTATTCAATATAATTGTAATTATTACATGAAATAGTTTCTATGTAAAATTATTTCTATCTTTTTATTTATATACATTTTCGTCCAAGTCAGTGTTCCACTTCGTGATAAGTTGACAACATTATGCAGGTGTTCAATAAAGATGAAGCAGATTAAGACTTTCACGAACATGACAAAACAGTTGTTGGTTAAAGTTATTATATATAGGAGTCATTTGATTTTTTGTGTATTATTTTCTGCGATGATATCCATATTTTAATTAAGAATTAGAGTTAGAATCAACATTAACACCACTTTAAATTCTTGAAAATGTGTCTATTTAACTACTAACACCTCTTTTAAAAAAAAAAAGAAAAAAAAAAAAAGAAGACTCCAGACATGTAATTTTTGTTAAAGATATACCACAAAGTTTGTTAAATGTCTAATTATTGTTACATCGATATTCAATTTATTGTAATAATTTTTAAAGGTATCTCTTCACTTTTTCTTTTTTTAATTTGTTAAACTTTTTGAGACATTATTGTTATTATTATTATTATTATTATTATTATTATTATTATTATCAATACTTTTCTATTCTTTTTCAAAAGTTATGTAGAAATGAAACTTTTCTTCTCTTTTTTAAGAGTTGTGTCCAAATGAAAAACGTATTCAATTATTATTATTATTTTGTATTTTAAATAAATTTATGAAGAGTTGTGTAAAATAGGTGCTTACAAGTCAAAGCACATTACGGTTAAAATTATATGATTACACCTTATAAATTCACACCTCTTTACGAAGACACATTTTCATTACATGCATCTATAAATATCGAGAGTAATTCAATATAAGTTTCTAAAACTCATTGGTTTCAGGGTTTTTCTCTCCTTCTATTTGCTCTCCCTATTTCAATGTGAATTGAGAGAGAGCAATTTATTATTTTTCTTTTTTTTTTTTTTTTTTTTTTTTTTTTCACAGGAGTATCTAGGATGAATCAATTCCGTCAATTAAAAAATAGAGTTTCAATAACTCGTAACCTCTTACA